GCAACGCAGGACGACAATGAGATCCCACCTCACCCCGGCCTTGACAGCCATGTTCAAAGCCAGGAGAGCACGTGCTAGAAAGGGTACAGAGAGATTAGAGACCCCCGCGTCCTGCTGGTGGGACTGAGAAATGCTACAACCTCCGAGGAGAGCAGTGCGGCGCTTCCCCAGACAACTGGGAGTAGACACACCATGTGGCCCGCCGATCCCTTTGCTGGCACACACCCTAAAGAAGTCAGAGCCAGCGCCGAACGGGCTTAGGCGCACCCCTGTTCATCACAGAGCTGTCCACAACAGCAAGAAGATGGAAACACCCTAAACGCCCAACATGGAAGAGGGGGGAAATAAATTATGGTCCACACACAAGGTGGAACCCTGGTGCTGCCCGGTGCCGTCGAGCTGACTCTGACCCATAGTGACCCCAGGCACAGCAGAACGAAGCACCGCCCACACTGTGCCATCGGCACAATTGGGCCTGTGCCCGAGCCCCTTGGGGCAGCCACGGTGTCCATCCATCGTGCTGCTGGGCTTCCCCTTTACCCCCTCTCCCTTCTGCTTTACCAAACACGATGTCCTTCTCCGATGTCAGGACTGCCGTCTCCTGACATCACGTCCAATGTCTATAAGACGGAAGTCTCACCATCCTTGTCTCTACGGAGCACTGTGGAAGAGGTAGTCCGACACAGATGGGTCGTCCTGTCACAGTCCCTGGGGCTCTCACTAGTCTCCCCCAGCCTCGCAATTCCAACGCCTGGGTCCTTCGATGGCTCTTCCTTCTTCCAGGTCTACCTTGCACCTGAGTGTGCTGCGATGGAGAATACCAGGGCTCGGCGCAGGAATGCCGCAGTCCTCAAAGTAACATCCTTGCTCTGAAGGGGTCTTGCGCAGCAGATTTGCCGAATGCTACTATGTCTTTTGATCTCGTGGCGGCTGCTCCCAAGAGCACTGAGCGTGGCTCCAAATCACACAAAAGCCTTTGCAACTTCAGCCTTGTCTCCACTTAGCGTGATGTGACCTGCTGGTTCAGTTGTGAGGATCTTGGTCTTCCTTACACGGAGTCGCAATCCACACTGAAGGCTGCCATCCTTGATCTTCATCAGCAAGGGCTTCAAGTCTTCCTCACCTTCAGCAAGCAAGGTTGTGCTTGCTGAAGATCCAGCAAGCCTTCCTCCGAGCTTGATGCCACACTCTGCTTCGTATAGTCCAGCGCCTCATGTAGCATCAGAGAAGCTGGTGGAATACTACACTTCTAAAGAAGGCTGGTGACGCTGTGATATGGATAGACTTGGCTAAGTGGAGGTAGTCAATCACAAAAGAACCCCCAAAACAAATATCCTAGGAGACCATTGTTATAAAAGGGGAAGAAAATCAAGATAAACGTTTTTCATGTTAAAAGGAACAGGCGTTGGTGGCTACTAGGGGCGGGAGGGGGAGAGGAGCGGGGAGGCAATAGGCTAGAGGGCAGACCGGTGTTAGGCAAGGGGCAGGGGAAGAGATGATTCTACAAGAGGGAATGAAGGCAGGGGTGGGGCGGGCAGAGCAAGGCATTGGGGGGTTGGTAAATGGTTTAAATTGCTGACGACGATCTAACATGCAAAGCCCCACCTAGTTCATCCTGAAAAGAAAACAGAAACGCCCAGCAGTGTGGAGGTTGCTGTGACAAAGATCTTTCTGAGGAGCAGAGTCTGAAAAGGGTTGAGAGGGGTGGAAATGTGGGGGGCGGGGCAGGATGGGGTTCTGGGGTCCCATGGGTATGCCGAGTTGAACCTGAGCCCGTGCGAGAACTGAACATCCCTGAACTGTCTGCTCGACCCCTGCTAGCACGGTCGTTTTTTGCCACCCTGAAAAGACAGTAGCACCCACTCATTCCCCCAAACCAAACGCACTGCCATCGAGTGGATGCCGACTCACGGAGACCCGATAGGACCGGGTCGGGCTGCCCCTGTGGGTTTCCGAGACTGGAACTCTTTATGGGAGTAGAAAGCCCTTCTTTCTCCCGAGAGCTTCTTTAGGAAGCTAATAGTTTGTGAAGCCAGAGCCATCTAAGTTTATCACCGAGACGGTACCTTGGGTCGATTCTGACGCCTAGTTACCCGGCAGGACAGCGTGGGGCTGCCCCTGTGGGTCTCCCCGGCCGTCATCTCGGCGGGATCACCAGGCCTTTCTCCCGATGAGCTGCTGGCCGGTTCAGATCACCAGCCTGGCACCTAGCAGCTGCGCACGTACCACTGCACCCCAGGGGGCTCCCTCGGTGTAGCTGTTAGGGGCGCACGGGCACGTGCCTGTATCACTGGCCTGACCGGGGCCCCCTGTACCCGCCACGGCTCAGTTAGGTGCTTCCTACTTGCTTCATCCGAGTCATAGCTGTTGGCTTCCTCCTCCTCCTCCTC